GGACGTCGGGGGTCTGGGTCTGGGGCCGGACGAAAACTTCTCACGAGCGGCGACTGCGTCCATATCGACGCCCTCGCGGTCCAGGTGTCTGGGTGTCTTCGTTGGTTTCCCTCGGCTGCCCAGCCTCGGGGCGCTCCCCAGCAGCCGCGCGCCGCCGAGAGAGCCTCCCGCACAGGAGTCCCCGCCCAGGAGCGCGCGGTTTCGCCACCGGGGGCCCGTCGTGCTGTTCCGTCGGCGATGTCCCCCTCCTCCTCCCCCTCCTCCCCCTCCTCCTCCTCCTCCTCCTCCTCCTCCTCCTCCTCCTCCTCTTCCTCCTCCGCCTCCTCCTCCTCCTCCTCCTCCTCCTCCTCCTGCCGCCGATTCTAGCGCGACGTTTCCCCCTGAGCTGGTCCCCCCTTATCGGGGGCAGCGGTGAACGAATGGGGGGGGGGGGGGGGGCAAAGACGGGGTGGGGGGTCAAGGAGGGAGGGAGGGACGGGGCGTGGAGTGGGATGGGCGGAAAGAGTAGGGAGTGGGGGGAGTGAGGGAGGCAGTCGAGTTGGCCGGGTCGCGCGAGTCGGAGGGCCCGCCTGTTCCCACCCTCCCCTCCACCCCTCCACATAAGAATGAGTTATGGCACAACTAGACATTGGGATTGGAACGAGTTCCCACCTCGCAAACGGAAGGCGCTTGCGCGCGACCCCGCTTCCGACGATTCGACGGAGGAACAACTAGACGGGCCGCGCAGGGGCGGGAGCGGCAGAACGACCGATGGGCGCGGCGAAGACGAGATATGCGCCGCGCTTACACAGCATGGCGACTTTCACTGACAAACTGCGCAAAACTTGGGCGAAGTCGGCATTTCACCCGCTCTCGCGCGGCCCCGCTGCCGCTGTCGCTCTCGCCCACTCGCGCGGGCCCCCAAACACTGGCGAGTGGAAACACGCGTAGCGTCGGGGCGAGAGCGGCATGTCGGCCTTTCGCGCGGGACGCGCGCCCCGTCCCATTCCTGTCGCGCATCTTCGACGACGTAGCGTCCATGTTGAGACGAAGATCGTCGGCGTTGCACTGCTTGCCCACGGAGGACGGAGGCTCCCAGATGGAGAGGCCAT